GGTTCAAACCCACCAGCCACTCCTCGGAAGGAAGATGGGGCAATCTACTTCCGTAGTGATACTGCCTCGGAAACCCAAGGAGGGGTTGTTATGAGTCGGGTCCGACTGGATGGCACACAACAACAACACAACAACAAAAAGGTTATTATGAATGACACTCAAAAAAGCAGCATGTGAGAATCAAGGTCTATTTCCCCATGTAATCTTCATTTCCCAGCAGCTTCTAATGTGTTAACTTAATTGTGATTTGAAACTGGCAGCATGTATTGTACATAAGTAAGTCACTTTTTAGAGTGGGTTAAAGTTATGGAGAGGTAGAAACAAACCTATAGTTTAGCATTAAATACCGTCACAATGAGCACTGCCCAACAGTGGAAAGAGGTGTTCTGTATGGAAAAGAGTTCTCATTACCAGAAATGTTCAAGTCAAGACTTAAAGCTACTTTTTGGGAATGATGTAGAAGGAATCAGATAAACTCTGAGGCCCTTGTTGGTCCTGGTAGTATGTAGTACTTTGGTTTATGGCTGTCTGCCTATGTCTCCAATGTTTGAGTAAACTTGGATGTCTTATTTTTCAGTGGTTGAAGGCCTCTCACTGTTGGACTTGGGAGTGTCTCCATATTCTGGAGCAGTATTCCATGAAGTAAGTGCTCTTGTTTTCTTTTCTGGATACTAAAAGTAATTTATAGTCACAGGTACTAAAGTCTAACTTGTTTGTTTTACAAAAACATTTTACAAGATCTCTTTTTGAAAAGGGAGCTCTGGTAGCGTAGTGCCTAAGGCACTTGATTGCTAACCAGAAGGCTGGCAGTTCAAACCTACCAGTCACTTCTCGGAAGGAAGATGGGGCAATCTACTTCCGTAGTGATGCTGCCTCGGAAACCCAAGGAGGGGTTGCTGTGAGTTGGGTCCAACTCGACGGCACGTAACAATAACAATAACGTTTTTGAAAATCATATTTAGAAGCAGACCGTTTTTTTTTAAGGAGGTTTTACAGCTACGGTAGAAATGATCCAGATTAGGATTGTAGTTTTGGGAAGCAGATGAGGCTTCTATAAAAGTTATCATTTTAAATGACAAATAGATGGTAAACAGTTCCTAGTCTATGAATAAGTTATATGGTAATTCGCATGTGATTGGATTCTTTGGAACAGGCTTTCCCGTGAAAACTGCGACAGTAAAGTTAGTTTCTTAGAAAGCCCACAAAAGTCTATTTAACCCAGGACCATATTCTTGGGGGACATCTAGGTCAATTGCCGTTAGATAGTCCACAGAAACAATGTTCTACATCCTACTTTGGTGAGTATCGATTGGGGTCTTAAAAGCTTGTGAGAACCCATCTAAGATGCAACTATTGTTCTCTATTGTTCTCTGGAGCAAAGAAGAGTGAAGAAAATCAAACATTTAACGAAATAATTAGTCCAAAAGACTAGTGGACCACATGAACCACAGCCTCTAATACCCTGAGACCAGAAGAACAGGATGGTGCCCAGCTAAATGAACAACTACTCTGATTCAGATCACAATAGAAGGCCCTGGACAGACAGGGAGAAAAATGTGGAACAAAATTCAAAATCATTATAAAGACCAGCCTTCCTGGTTTGATAGAGACCAGTGGAACCCCCTGAGACTATGGTCCTTAAATACCTGTCAGACCTGAAACTAAACCCATTCCTGGGGATCACCTTTCAGCCAAACAGTAACACCTGTGAGGAAGGTACTCCTCAGAACAATCAACTACATGAGACCAAAAGGATTATATTTGCCCAGAAACAAAGTTGAGAAGGCAGGAAGGGGCCGCAAAGAAGGACAAATGGAAATGGAGAACCCAGCAAGGAAACGGGAAGAGTGCTGTTACAGTGAGGGGCTTGCAACTAATTTCATGGAACAAAAAAATGTACATGTTGTGGAATGGAAAACTAATTTGCTCTGTAGACTTTTACCTCCCACCCCCATTTAACCCATAAAATTAGTTCTTATGAATAATAATAAAAAAATTGTCAAACTGCTGTTATCTCTTGGTTTGATTACTATAACAGCTTCCTGACAATTCTTTCTGCCTTCCTTCTTAAACATCTAGTCTTTATTCTTCAATCAGGGACATCTTTCTAAAAAATAAATCTGAATTTGTTGTCTTGCTCAGTGCTTTTGTATGCTGTTGACCTCAGGATAAAATACTGACCTTTAAAGGATATTACCAAGCCCTGTGGACTCTGCTCACACATCAACCACATTGCTTTCCTTTCTTTCTTTCTCATTTTTATTGGCCATATCATTCTAAATTAAAAGTCTTCTAATTTTTTCTCCTAATTTTTATAGTTGTCTCCCCTGTATTTACTTTGAATACAAATTTTTCTTTCAGTACTTCATGTCTATTTAGTTTTTTGAAAGCATTCAACTTAGTTCTTATAGTAATAACAGTTGTCTTTTGCATTTATATTTCATTATCTTTGTATTACAATTTAATTGAATCACAATAAGAACAACTGCAGGCTAGGAAATTTAAGAAATCCTTAGTAAGCACACACTTCAACTCTTGGGAATAGATGTGTGTAGGTGTGTTTTCTGGATAGAATAGGAACCCCTTGAAAGAGTACTGACACACTCTCATTGTCCTATAGCACCATATTCTCTTTGACCTACAGTCTTTGTTCATGTTGTTGTTTCCTCATGGAGGACCATCCTTCTTTCTGTGGTTTTCTCTACTATTAAGATGTTACCTTAGAATTTATCTCCTCCGAGAAGGCATTCTTCATCACCTTAGACTGGGTTAGATGTTTTTCCTATATCTGCCAAAACATCTTGTGTTTATTCTTCTCATGACTCATGTGACGCTCTTTAAATTATCTCTGTACTTTTTTCACCCATTATGCTATACTCCCCTTGAGAACAGGAACTAGCACCTTTTCATCACTTATTCCTGATGTCTAGCTCTGTATCTGGTATACACATTCCAATCCCTTTTGTTCTTCATTCCTTTAGTAAATATTTGTTAAGTATATACCAAATACTAGCTACTATGCTGGAAACACCAAGTAAAACAGAGTACGTGTCCTCATGGTGCTTACTTTTCAATGAGATAGACAGACAATAAGGTTGCAAAAAAGAAATAGATTTCAAAGCAAATAATAACATCAGGGGATAAGGAAGGTCATTTCATAATGACAAAGGGGTCAGTTTATCAGGAGGACATAACAATTGTAAACGTTCGTGTACCTAATAACAGAGTTTGAAAATGCACAGAGTGAAAAATGATAGAACTGTGAAGAGAAAAGTTCAAATCCATAGCTATAGTTGCATATTTCAGTAGTCCTCTCTCAATGATTGATGGAATAAGTAGACGGAAAATGAGTAGTATATAGATAATAGAATATAAAAGACTTGAATGATACTGCCAGCCAACTTGACTTAATTGGTAGTTAGTGAGGGGTCCATCCAACCGCAGCAGCATATGCATTCTTTTCAAGTGCACACAGAACATTTGCCAAGATAGACCACATTCTGGGTCATAGAACAAGGCTCAATAAATGTAAAAGGATTCATGAACAGTAGTTTAACTTAACTATTGAAGACTAATAGCTACTGAAGAATGGCCAGATTTTATCTCATGTACTTGGGCCTGTTGTCAGAAGGTAGCATTCCTTAGAGAAGGACGTCATGCTTGGTAAAGTAGAGGGTCAGTGAGAAAGGGGACGACCCTCAGCCAGATGGGGTGCCACAGTGGCTGCAAGGTTGGGCTCAAGCACAGCCGCGACTGTGAGGGTGATGCAGGATCGGGCAGCGGTGCGTTCTGTTGTGCATTGGGTCGCTGCGAGTGGGAACCAACTCTAGGCGCCTGTCAACTAGGAAAGAATGTCTTTGAATATTACGCTCTTGTGAGATCTATCTATATGAGATTAAATTGACAGCAGCAACTCAAGAATAGATAGGAAACTTGGAGCAGTGAGATTAATTGGGGAGGAACAACTCAAAAAGGAGGCTGAGAACAGTTGCACAACTCAAAGCATGTAATTACTGTCACTGAATTGTACATGTAGAAGTTATTATATGTATATTCTCAACAATAAGTTATTTTAAAAAAATATTTTTAAACAATGCAACTCATACGAAGCATGTTTTCTGACCACAGTGGAATTAAATAAAAAAATTAATAGCAGAAAAGAAACCTGGAAATACCCAAAATATTTGAAAACCAAGTAACACATTTCTAAATAACCCACAGATCAAAGAGGAAATCAAAGAGAAATTGGAAAGTATTTGGAACTAAATGAAAATGAAAACACAACATATCAAAATATGTGGGATGCTCTGAAAGCAGGGCTTATTAAAATGAAATTTATAGTACCAAGTGCTTATATTAGAAAAGAAGGAAGGTCTCAGATCAGTGACTTCAGCTTCTATTGTAAGAAACCAGAAAAAGAAAAGCAAATTAAACCCAAAGTAAACAGAAGAAAGGAAATAATAAAAATAATAAATGAAAGAGAAAACAAAAAATTACAAAGGCAAACACTGAATCTGAAAGCTGGTTCTTTGAGATGAACAGTAAAATTAATAAACTTTTGGGAATGGTAACTATGTTCACTATGTTTGATTGTGGTGATGGTTTCATGGTAGTATATATATTTCAAAACTTACCAAATTTTACAGTTAGTACAGTTTATTGTATGTCAATTATACTTCCATAATGCTAAAGTTTGAAAATAATATGTCGGTAATGGAAGTACATGCAGAAAAATAAAGCTGAGTAAAAGGATGAAGAGTGACGATGGTGATGTGTGTGGCTATTTTAGATAGTGTGGTCAGGGAACACTCTGAGGAGGTGAAATTTGAATAAGTGACCTAAATGAACTGAGCAGGCCTGGTTTGGGACGAGCTTGCCATCTGTGAGTTGTGGAAAGACGTGTGGCTAATGCAGGATGGACAAAGAAAAATGATAGAGATGAGTTGAGGGAAAGTTAGAGGCCAGATTTTCTAGGATTTTGTATAAACATGATTAAGAGAACAGATTTTATTTTTAGTGAAAGCATTGGAGGCTTTTAAACAGGGAGAAAAGTGATCATATTTACATTTTTTATTTTATAAACATTGCTGTGGCTCCTGTGACTCTAGAGGTGAGAGGTGAAGCATAGAGAATGATTACTGTGCTGTTGCATGCACGTGTAAGTACCATGATGGTAGCAGGGAAATTTAGTTATAATTTTAGAGGTTACTTTTTAATAGATTAGATGTGAGATATGAAAGCAAGAGAGGACAACAGCTTTTTCTGGCTCAAACAACTGAGTGAATGTTGGTGTTATTTATGGAGATGAGGCATATACTGGTAGAGGAACAGGGTTTGGGAGAGGGAACTGGGAAATCAAGAGTTCAGATTTTGCCGTTGTTAGGTTTGAAGTGCGTATTGGACATCCAAATGGAGATGCTAAGGCAATTGGCTATACGCTTGTGAAACTCAAGAGGAGACGTCCAGGCTTGAGGGATAAAATCGGGATCTATTAGACTATACATGTTATTTAAAGCCATGGGATGGGTTTGATCACATAGTGTGATAGCCAGTCTTTAGGATAGCCTCCAAATAATTCATTTCTTGCTATTTATACTTTTTTGTAGTCCCTTCCTAAGGTTGTTCTGTGAGACCAATTGAAT